TTCTGGGAGTTCTCGGTCCACATACTGCTGAAGCCTACCTTGTAGGATTTTGAGCATAACCTTGCTAGCGTATGAAATGAGTGCAATGCACGGTAGTTGGAGCATTCTTTGGCACTTCCCTTCTTTGGGATTGGGATGTAAAGTGATCTCTTCCAATCCTCTGGCCATTTCTGAGTTTTCCAAACTTGCTGGAATATTGAGTGTAGCACTTTATCAACATCATCTTTTAATATTTTAAATAGTCCAACTAGAATGCCATTACCTCCACTGGCCTTGTTGTTAGCTATACTTTCTAAGGCTCACTTGACTTCACTCTCCAGGTTGTCTGGCTCAAGGTCAGCAACCACACTATCTGGATTGTCTGGGACTTCTATATCTTTCTGGTAAAATTCCTCTGTGTATTCTTGCCACCTGTTCTTGATGTTTTCTGCTTCTGTAAGGTCCCTACCATTTTTGTCCTTTATCATGTCCATATTTGCACAAAATGTTCCTTTAATATCTCAAACTTTCCTGAACAGATCTCTAGTTTTTCCCTTTCTATTATTTTCCTCTATTTCTTTGCACTGTTCATTTAAGAAGGCCCTCTTGTCTCTCCTTGCTATTCTTTGGAAGTCTGCATTCAATTTTCTGTAGCTTTTCATATCTCCCTTGCATTTTGTTTCTCTTCTCTGCTATTTGTAAGGCCTCGTTGGACAGCCACTTTGCTTTCTTGCATTTCCTTTTCTTTGGGATGGTTTTTGTTGCTGCCTCCTGGACAATGTTACACGAGCCTCTATCCAAAGTTCTTCAGGCACTCTCTCCACCAAATCGAGTTCCTTAAATCTGTTCTTTACTTCCACTGTGTATTCATAAGGGATTTGGTTTAGATTATACCTGAGTGGCCCAGTGGTTTTTCCTATTATCTTCAGTCTAACCTTGAATTTTGCTATGAGAAGCTGATGATCAGAACCGCAGTCAGCTCCAGTTCTTGTTTTTGCTGACTGTATAGAGCTTCTCCATCTTTGGCTGCAGAGAATATATTCATTTTACCGGACCTCAGAAGGACGGAAGGCAGCTCCCTGGGCTCGAACCCCTCGTCCTGAGCAGAAGGGGCTGCACCCTCCAGGGAGCGAGGGAGGCTGGCCTCTCCTTCGCGGCACCACCGCAGTTTAGCCACCGTTTGCTAGATGCTTTATTGATTTAGACTATTTTTGACTCCGTCTTTCTCCTTCAAAGGAGCCAAGGCGGCTCACACCAGCAAAAACCAAAGTCTTAACGTTCCAACACGCAGAATAGGGCTGCCTTCCGGAGCGAGCCTGGACCCGCCTTGGAACCCAGAGGCGCTACAAGGACGTGTCGTGGGGGGGCCCAGCTGCCTTAGCCAGGCTTCTCTCTGCGGCGCTTCCCATTGCCTCATGGAGGGGGCTTTCCTCTGCATTCCCACGAGGGACTCTCCCGGGTCAGCCGCTTCTCTGCGCGCCCTCCCCTCTTGCTGGGTTGGTACAGTCCGAGCGGGGCTCTGCCTCCCGGGGGGCCGCCGCCCGGCTCCATCCGCGCCCCTTCCGCTTTCTGCCGCTAGAGGCCGGTGTTGGGCAAGCCGCGCTTCCCGCCCGCTTCCAATTGGCCGGAGGGAGGAGCCAGGGGCGGTCTCTCCGGGAGCACCGCCCCCGCCCCCTCTAGCGGGGCAGGCAAGGGAGGGGCGCGAGGAGAGGCAGCGGAGGAGCCGGGCGAGACCACGACGCACCGAAATCCGGGGGAGGAGGAGGAAGGAGGAGGAGGGAGATACCACTTTTGGACGTTCGGGTGGGGGGAAGAAGAAGAAGAAGAGTGGGACTGACCGGCGCGCGGGAAGCTTCGTCTGAGGGGAGCAAGCGCTGCGGGCGATACCATTGCGGGGCGGGGGGGTGGAAAGAGAGAGAGAGAGAACGGGAAGGGGCAGCATTTCCGTGCGAGGGTGTGAAGGGGAAGGGGGCCCGGGGCCCGATCCCTGACGGAGGTACTTTCTTTACTTCTTTCTTTCTTTACTTCTTTCTTTCCTTCTTTCT